GGGGGGGTGGTGGGGGAGGGGGGGGGGGGTGGGGGGGGGGGGGGGGGGGGGGGGCGGAACTGATTCCGCAATGTTCAACATCGTGGAATAGGATACATTCTCGAAAAATGTTATTGCATTGATCCAAGTGTGATAAAATGACTCAGATAATGCCAATTTGTAGCAACATGTTTGAATGAACGACATACTCTTATTGATATGGCCTAACTGAATATGCATTCAAGAAATATAGATGGATATACGTATGAATATACAGAGAACGTCTCATATAAGTTTTACTCTAAAGCACATTCGAACAAATCGTAGCAAAATAAATTAAACTTCATCCGATATATTTTTTATTTCTTGAGAAAAGAATTGACAATCAGAACTATGCTGCAACTTATTCTATTTCATATCTACTCTTTCAGATGCTTTCATACCATACTAACGGGAAAATATTAAAACCAAAACTATGATAATATATCATTAATTCGATCAATCTGAAGATTTAATAGGCAATATTACCATAAAAAATTTTCTGGTACTACATAGATTCATATTTTATTATAGTTTTTTCAACGAATTACTCATCTATGATATGATATTGTGAAGAATCCACGAGATGGCATTCTGTCAAAACAGAAAACAAACTCAGTTGTCATGGAAAGATTCAATTTTATATTTAGACATCTCTTTTTTTTAGGTTCTTTGCAATGTTACAAATGTATTTTGAAACAAAAAAAGAAGATAATTACATTTTAGACATCATTTTGAGACAGTTTTTTAAAATGAAATGAGAAGTTTCTTAAACGACTCGCTGATTTCATTCTAATGGCATTGTATTATCCAACGTTGTCCATAGTAGCTGTTTCAATGTGGGTTTCGTGATGTCATATATAATATTTTGTTTTCGACTGTTGTACGTAATTCCGGATATTGATTTAAGTACTTAAATGGAAAAAGAAAAATGCTAAAATAACCTAGAAAGAAGAGATAAAATTGAACTTGAACACCGTATTGTGATAGTAGATCGCATAGATACACTAGCGGAATAAGATACGTTGGAAGATTAAAACAAATATTTAAAATTGACATTAATAATAATTGTATGGTTAATCGACATTGTGTGTGCCATTGAGTCGAACGACGAAGAGGTAACCTTTGTAATTGAATACGTATAGGAAGTAAAATACTAGCGACAACTTCGGTTAGAGTTGGTCAGCTCTATATAGTCGATCATCAACAATTTCATTAACCACCACGATGAACTTGCCAGTATATGTGTATCCATCTGTAACATTGAAAAATTAATATGAAACATAGGATATCAATACAAAATAGTGTTAATGGGAAGCAAGACAGTAATAGTGGGGCGGAGGAAGAAGACAAATAGTCGACAACTCCTACCAGTATCATCGTCTCGCCGTCCCACTATCATATTTTAGATCTAAAGAAAACGAGAAAGAAAAGAGAAATACGTGCACGTGTTTATACATCAATAGATATTTACAAACATAAAAATAAAATAGTCTGACGAAGGCAACATCGTTGCCAAAACGTGATTGAAAAAGAAAACAAATAATAAACATCGATCACAAGGAAGAGAATAATTATAATTAAACTAAATACAATTAATTAATTTAAAAAAATAATAATTGAGATTATAACTCGATGTTCATAAAGCCTCAATTATCAATCACTCAACAGAAAATCAACATATGATTACTCACTCGGTACACTAATATTCATTGCAATGGCAAAAAACTTTTCCATATTTCATGGCCTCACCATTGACACAAATTACGCAATTCTTTGCTATGAGTAATAGAAAAGAAATCACAACAAAAACTGTCCACTATAACATAAACCATCATCCCATCATTACTTCGGTGTCAATCTTTGCAAAAATACACAGTCAATTATCTGTGCCAATCCATCAACGTTTACGAAAATTAAAAAAAACTGCGAAAAAAATAATAATCTGAAATAAATTAAAATATATACTGAACTAAAATCCTTACTGTTCAGTGAACTTTTATTCACCGGCTTCTTCAAATATTTTATAGAGTTGAACAGATTACGACGGTATACGACGGCGCACGGTGTTACATGGTCGTATACACCAGCCGTATATCTCTGTATATGGACTTGAGGAATTTATCATTAATTTTCTCCGTAAACGATCGTTTACGACCGTGCATGCTCGACTTGGGTTATGTCGATCATTTGAACGAGACAAAATCTGAACGTGTCTAGATACGATGATGCCAGCTTCAATCTTAAAGCACACTCATATTTTTGTTAATATTAACCGTAATTACTCTTCTCTGAACAACTATTTACATGGCTCATGAATTCAAATCATTGGCAGAACAAACCAGACAATGGTACTCAACAGTAGAAGTCATGACGCGGTCGCCACCAATATAGATCATAGCCATCTGAAGGGACCCTTTAGGCAAAGTCGAAACGCGTCATGGCAGCTTGTCTAACCCTTCATCATCAAGTATGAATAGAATATGCAAACACTTGAACATTCAGTCCAGAGTTAAGTGAGTCGAAGTAACAAGCGTTACTTTGTCACGTATTTCCGCTTTTTTGACTCATAAAAATTATCATGAGTCCATTGTAATAGATCGTATAAGATGGTATAAATCCCATTGATAGAATTAGTGGCGTACCCAGCGTATTTTCTTGTTGCATTCTCCATTCTTTTCCATGTGAAATTCCCCATGGGATATAGCGGAGAACGAAAACAAGAAAGTATGTTGTATATACCACCAGTTCTATCAATGGAATTCATCCCATCTTATCTGTTCTGTTTTGATGGATAAATGATAATTTCCATGAGTCAAAAAACGGGAAATACCCAACAAATTCAACAATAGTATATAAAGAGGCTTTTTTGTACAATCTAGAAAAATAGAAGTTTTATTGTTTTATATTAAGAAATATGCCGATGGTAATTGTTCTCTTATTTTTCTTTATTACAAAAAACGTGTTGTTAAAACCAATTGAAACTAATAAAGATGCACTAACATATTTAACTCAACTAGGCTACAATCAAAATCAATGTAATTCGACATCGAAATTACCCTGCAGTCTAAGTACGTCATCAAGTATACGTGAATATCAAAAAGCCTTTGGTTTAAAAGAAACTGGTCAACTTGATAAATCAACAAAAGAATTGTTAAATAAACCAAGATGTGGTAATAGTGATACACCTCATGCATCAAAATTATCGAAGTTAGCATCGATGAATTCTAAATGGAAAAAAAAACATTTAAAATGGGTTCTACGCAGTAGATCATCGCACATCTCAGAAGAACAAACAATACAAATTATTCATGAAGCATTTGAAGCATGGACAAAGCATACACCATTAAGTATTGAAAGAGTTTGTACCAACTGTGAAGCTGATGTTGTCTTTGATTTTGCTCATGGTGATCATCATGATGGCGCTCCATTTGATGGTCCAGGTCGAACATTGGCTCATGCATTTTTTCCAGAAGATGGACGAATTCATTTTGATGCATCTGAAAAATGGACCGAAAAGTAATAAATATATATTTTGTTTTGGTTCGTTAGTGACGATTTCTTTTTCCAAAGGTTTGATGGTCACGATACTAATTTATTTTTGATTGCTGTTCATGAAATTGGTCATGCGCTTGGATTAGACCATAATAGACATGATAAAAACTCAATTATGTATCCTTACTATCAATTTATGGATAAACATCGCATTCTTCCAGATACAGATCGACAATCAATTATCGATATATATGGATCAAGGGAGACTCGAAAGGTACTAATATTGTAGTAGAGGTATAGAAGTGAAGACATAGACGTTCAGATATTGGAGTGTGGATATTATGATGATAGAGATATAAGGATATGCATATGAGACTATTGAACTAGAATGGTGGAGTTACCAGAATAGAGGACGACAAATGAAGGAGCTAGGGGTTAGAACTTAAGGAGCTTAAAATCTAGTAGAGTGCTTCAGAAGGACTATAAGAGTAGATGATTGGGGTGGAGGGTAGAATCGAGAGACTTGGAAAACATGGAAGAGATGTACAAGACCGAACAGCTGGGCAACTATGGACGCTAAGGAGTTCGAAAGCCCAAGAAGATAGAAAGCTACGGAAGTTGAAGTGACATGTTAGGAGAGACAAAAAACTGGGAAGTTATGGAACTGAATGTACGACACTGCTGACTTTCTGCGGTTCATGTAGATTTCTTTTCATTTCGCATACGCCCTACCCATCAACAGAGCATTGAGAAATGCCTCGGGTCTTCTAGTAACGAGCTAAAACCTGTTTCAAGACAGAGCAAAGACGCAAGGCAGAACCAGATTTTACTAACACCTCAAAAAGATCCTTAAATATAAATGGAATCCAATTCTAGAAACTTCAAAGTTTTCATCTAGCTTTAATTTTTTTAGAGTTTGGATCCGTATAGTAAAATGATTGCTGTTCTGAGGAATAAAGCAACACACAAAGTGTTAGATTCCAATTCAAACAAAGATGTTTATACACTTGATCACAATGGTTCCAATTATCAGAAATGGGTATTTATTCAACAAGACGATGGCACTTATATATTAAAAAATGCAGCGACTTCATTTGTGCTTGACTCCAACAACGAACACATGTATACACACGTTTTAAATGGTGGTCATTTTCAAAAATGGAGATTTCATAGACAGAACGATGGCAGCTATGTAATGAAAAATCTAGCAACTTCACGTGTTCTTGATTCTAACGGTGCAGGTAATGCATATCCACTCGATTCAAATGGCGGTGATTATCAAAAATGGTTTATCGAGGCAATATGAGTTTTATAATCTCCAAATATATCTCAGATTGACTTTTCTGCATGATCTTAGCTTCTTTTATACTAACGTACGATGCAAAAGTAATAACACAAATGTCGATTGCTATTTCTCTTCGATAAAAGGATGCTGATGAAAAACGTTTTACCAAAGGATAGAAATTTTTCTTCTTTTTCGAATCGTATGTAACTCATTTTTATAATACCTGCATAAATGAAACGATAAAATTATCTTGAGCGATGTAAGGGTGATGGTGTAAATAAATAAAGTGAATTAACAATGCCAAATACGAGCCATAAATGAAACACAATAGAAAGCACCAATATTTTAATTAACCTTAAATTTTTAAGGCCTTCTCCCCCCCTCAAAAAACGGTCTCAGCTCAGGTATATTCACATTAGCTGAAATTTTCAGAATATGTTGGGGCTATGGTGGAGAGACTATGATAAAATTTTCAGCCCTACATCATGTCGTTTGACAGAGACATTCACCAAACAAGGGTGGGTGTGGATGTGGAATAAGAGAAGAATGAAATCCACACCCAGTAGGCTTATGCATTGGAAACCTACGGTAATGGGCGGTGGAGAAGCACTACCACCTTCTACTAGCATAGAGACATCTCGATAACATCAAAAGCCGGTGATCACCGTAGGCTCTTCATATGTTCACTGATTAAACCGATTTTACTCATGATACTTGAAGATGCATTACCAAATGATCCTAAGAGGCTTTTACCATTTTTCGGTACGCTTACCCGAGCAGATGCGAGCTGTATGAAAAGAGCAGTCTTCGCTGTACACTTCATACGCTTATTGCTTATTTTAAGGCATACCGCAGTGAACCGAACAATTTCCCCAGTTTGAGAAAACCGCTGATGGATCCTACCGGATAGAAACGCACTAACTCCAACTTCGATGGCTGAATTGAAATTGGTCTTGGTCAGATCAAATAGAACTTGGAAGGAGGGGAATTTGAATTAGCCGGAATTCAAAGTAATTACAAGTGGGAAATTACCGTTAAACAGACAGCTACTATATCAGTTACTGGGTAACGCAAAATGCCTGTATTTGGCTCCTTTATCAGGAGAAAACTATCATGCGAAAATAACCATTTCTTTGTAAAGCTCGACCGATAGTATTCGAGGTCAGAGAATGCGAATCTACAATCAGTTTTGAAAGTTTTGAGCTCGATAGTTTTTACTAAATAAAGGATTTTTTTTTAAATAACAATTTTTTTAAACTTTAATCGAAATTTTTCGGGGTCGAGGTATTCGTGTTTGTGATCGGTTTTTGGGAATTTTGAGTCTGATTTCGGAAACTGATAACAGACTCACATTCCGTAACCCAAAGACCTTTAATGAAGTTTTATAAAAAATCGTTATTTTCCTAAAAAAAACATTTCTTTAGTAAAAAATTCTAGTTCAAAATTTTTAGAAACGGATTACAGATTCAGATTCCTCGACCCTAAAAATCTTTGACTGAACTTTATAGAAAATTGCTATTTTCTTCAGAAAGCCTTGCCATGGCGAGAGAATCAAAACCAGGAAATTTCCATCACCTGGTAACTCGTAAAGTAACTGTTTATGTAACGGCATCTTTGCGCCTTCAACGGATTCCAATTCCAATGAAGTCAAAATTAGAGCTAGTATATCTTTAGTAACAGCTACCGTAGTATAGTTGGGTCGGTGACACCGGTGAACGGTGAACCGGTGGATCGGTTAACCACCGTCACCGTTGCATCTCTTTAAGGGACAGAGAGAATGAGGGGCAGCAAGATAAATGAAAGAGCGGTAGATCAACGATCATTAGTGACTACTTGCGCAGATAAGGACAGCGAAAGTGTGAGAAAAACGCCACCAGTCATGACAATAATGACAGCATGCACTGCAGATTAATCATTATTGTCATCCGAACAGAGAAAACAAGCCCAGATACCATCAATCACTTCATTCATTCACTCTCTGCTCGCTCTAAAGAACATGCATGTGTTTCGAAACATGCTCCTGGCGATGCTTGCCACCGTCATATCCTGTGGATCGAACGGCGTGTCAACACCGGTGCTTGACTTTACGGTTGTCTTAAGTCAATACTATTCGAAACCGAATGTGGTCGGTGAACGAAATCTGATTTGGTCCCCGCTCAGTGTCCATATGGCTCTGGCGATGACAAGTGAAGGCGCCAAGGGAAAGACGTTCGATCAACTTCAACGTGCTGCTTATCTGCCAACAGAATGGCCATTCGACAATGGTCTTCGAATTATATCCGATCCCAAAGAGATGAAATCACATCAAACACCCATATTCCATCTAGCGTCAAACCGAGTCGAACAGATGTCAATAAAAATGATTCATCTCACGTGTCGATCGTTAATCGATTGTATGCCGCTGATAAGTTCATTGTCCGACCTGAATTCAATCAAATTCTATCCAAAGCCTACGAAAGTCAACTTGAAAGTGTCAATTTTGCTCAACCAGAAAAGGTCGCTGATCACATCAATACTTGGGTCACTAATAAGACAAACAACACGATTGTATCTGTTCTGAGTTCAAATGACATCGATCCAGTTCTCACTCGACTCATTCTCGTCAACGTACTTCATTTCAAAAGTTCGTGGACATCGCCTTTTGATCCTAATCAGACGGTTTCAGATAATTTTACGCTGATCTCAGGCAAAAATGTCTTGGTGCCTACCATGCATCTCATTGATCATTTTGCTTATTCGAAGCAAAGCAACGCTCACTGAATCAATTTGCCCTATCATGCAAAAGATGGTCGCTACGTTTTGACGGTCATACTGCCTGATGACACATTGAAAGCACTCGAGCAACGACTTGCCAGCGGAAAAGAACTAGCGAATGTTTTTAATCAACTGGACGAAATCAGCGAGGACAACCATCCTCGTATTCACTTGTCCTTGCCTAAATTTCATCTCGAATCTAAACTTGACTTTGTCGCTTACTTAAAGAACTATTACAATGTTTCTCTACCATTCGATGCTCAAGAAGCTGATTTCAGTTTGATGAGCAAGAACAAGGAACCATTATACATATCAAAGGGGAACCCGAAACTTGCGCACGGCGAAACTTGCGCACTGCAAGATGCGCACGTACAACTTGCGCACGAGATAACAAAATATCATATTTACAAATATGAAATTAAATAATCTGATCAATCATTAACTGTAATGACTAGACATAGTCTGTTTGATTATTTAATCTAATTAAAATGAGCTTATGCTCAGAACAAATGT